CCTTCAGCCACAGAGGAGGAGGAAATGAAAACACAAAGTGCCATTTTGGAGCTCTCACCTCTCTCCAGTGGCTTGTATTAAGGAATTCTAAATGGATTACACAACTCGAGACGTTGAAAGCCATCTTCAATTCTGAATTGGTTTAACTACAGCCAGAAAATTTTAAATGCTTTAATTTCTTTAATAAGCAACAGCCCATGAGAGTCATTTGGACTGTTCTTTCATTTTGCCCTTGATACTTACACTTCAGGGAGAGAAGAGAAGCCTTAAAATGCAAGCCATACAAAAAAGCTGTTAATTTAGAGATTTCAAATTATAACTTCAAAATGTGGCTGCAGAATGCAGAACTACCACAGCTCTGTGCACCATTTATTACACACAGACAGCAACTAAAAACATCCTCAAAGTCTTCACAGACCGGGAAAATTCACAATGCAATTTCTCAGAGTGTAAGAAAAGCCTGAATCCAAATAGATCCCGTTCAGAAATTGCACAGAAATGACTGTAGGGTTGTGCTCCTGCCTTTCCTYACTGACAGAAGTGCAGGAGAAGGGRCTGGCATCACCCTGTGAATGTGGCAGTGCTGGGTGCCCACCCYGAGTGCCACCACAGGAAATTTTTGGGGTTTTTGAGGCACCTGAGTGTGTCCTGCAGGCAGAGAAACAGCCAGAGAGCTCCTGCCAAACCAACCCTGCACCTCTCTTCAAGGTGAGCCATCTTCAAGACAAGGAGAGGAAAAAAGGCAGTGAGGTTTCTCATTTTGTGCCAAATTGTGCCCAACTGGCCCTGGTTTAGTCCCAAGAAACCTGAGAACCTGCAGCTCTGAGGTGGAGACAAACACAGCACCTCAAACCACGGTGATAAAAGGGTTTGTGACACAAAACCAGCCAAGAGCAGCAGTTCAGTGATGTGTCTGTACAGCCAGGGCTGATCTGGGGCTGTGATGCCAAATGCCACCTCCAGATSCCACACAACAGCCACAGTGCCACCATTAACCCTCTCCTGCCCAAAGACATTGTTGCTTCATCCCACTGCAAAATCTGTCCCAGCAATTTAAACGGTGCAAGGTGCAAAGGCTGCAGATCTCTTTGCTAAAACACAGGTTTTTCTGCTGCAACAAACCATAAAACTTTTGTTTGACAGAAAAACGGCGCCTGCTTATGAGCAGGTTTTAAATTGCTATACTTCAAAGTGACAGTGGCACAGGATGGTTTAAAATATTTCCCCCTTTCTAAAATTATGCCATTAAATCACAGTGAAGTACCTGCATAAAATTTAAAAATTAATATTTTATTACAGTATTTGTAATAAAAAAGTATACACATATTTGAATTYCCCAGTGTTTCTGATTGCTAATGGCCCTCCCAGAGATGCCTCAACCATCAGAACCATATGCTTGCAAATGAGTGAAATAAATCTCCATGTCCACACGAGTGACAACTCTGTGCTCGTGTTATTGGCACTTTTTAGGCCACTGCACAGACTGAACTCATTCCCACAAGGCACTTTTCACTCGATTTTACTTTTAACAACATTTGAAAAGAATTATGAAGCGGCACACCCTTACATCAGGCAAAGAATTCAGCATGTAAAGTGTTCAAAGAGCCCTCATTATCAGTGAGACTAAGATATAGAGATATAAAGATATACAGATATATCTGTATTATATATATATACCACATTTAGAGCTGATCTCAGCTTGCTCTGACTCCACACAGCCTGGGGACTCCCACTGCTGGCACACAAAGCAAGAAGGAACAGGTCCATCAGGAACTCCAGAGGATTCTCCACAGACACAGATCTGGCTGTGCTTTATTTTTATGTTTTAGTATTAGCAGGCACCATGTTTAAATCATGAGCTGTGATTTAAAACTGCAGCTCTTAATATCCAAAATTAAGTGGCTGTTATAAAATACATGGCTAACTTATTTTAATCATTGTAATTTTGTGCGTTACCTATTTCACTTTTATGATTTCTGAGAGGCTTCACACTCAGGAGAGTCTTAACTTAAAAAACAGAATTCTTTTCTAAGTCATTCCAAACTGTACTTTTAACCATGTGACTGCGTGTACAATATCTGACTTGTAAGGTACCTCTTGGATTTTTTTGGGAGTTGTTTGAACCCCAAAATGGGATTGGAATTTTTCAGGGATTTAATAAAAATGTCAGGTTAAAGGGGAAAAGGGAAARGAAGATCACTGACATCAAACAACACAATTGGTCACAGCCTTGGCAGTTTTGATTGGTTTCCTTTCACACAATCWGCTTCAAGGAGGAAGAAATGTTTTTCCAATGATCTCCTGAGTGTTAATCACTTTGACCTTTGCTTATATTTTCCAGAATAAAACTGTTTCCTAATTTATTTGTACTTTTCATAAACCTCTAGGCTGATCTTCTATCTTTAAAAAGATCAAATCTTTTATTATACCTAATATCAGATTATTGAAGATTTTAGTACATACATGGGCAGTTCATCTAATCCCATTGACCTTTTCATATTAAAATCCAGTTTTATGCTTTATCTGCTCTTTATTTAAAAAAAATAAAGATCAGCCATTGTTCAGATGCTGGTTCTCTATTCTTATAACAAAATTAAAACCCAACAGGACTTTTTTTTTTTTTTAATTTACATGGAACTGAGAATATGCAGCCAAGATTTAAAACAAGTGGAGGATGCCAAGTGGAGCCTTTGGAAGGTTATTTACAGTCCAGACCACGAGGCTGCCTCCTGACAAAACAGCACCAGCACACAACTCAAGGAATGACCTGTCTGGTTCATATTTCCTTATTTAAAACTCATGCAGAGATAATATTTGCTGGTAAATTCCTTCCCATTTTACRAATATTTAACTGATGGCAGCATCCTCCTATCCAGCCAATTTATTCCAAAAGAGGCTTCCCACAAGAAAAATAAACCTGCCTGTCCATCCCCAAAAGCACTGGTTTATAAAACACCAAACAATAAATAGAAAGTGCAAATGTTTTCCATGCAAAGTGCTTCAACTTCCTGCACAGAGCAAGAATTACACGTGGCAGAGCAGATGAACATCACAATTAACAAACCCAGGAAGGACCATGGGGAACAGCTGAAACAACTTCCACAAATCCCATTTATTCTGCCAAAAATCTGCTTTGCTACAGAAAGCAAAGAAGGGCCGAAAGGGAAGTTTTGGTCATTAAAACTGAGCAGTAATTTATGCTCTGCTAGAAGGCAGCGCTGTTTATAGGAAATGCAGCTTTTATCTTGCAGAATGAAACAAATGTAACAGAAATAAATATGGATTCTAAGCATCAGAACTGTTAGAGGCTTTGCTCCCATTAATATACTTTCTCTGTTTCAGATGCTACAGTTTAACTAAACTTTACTGACTCTTTTAGTTTCATTCCTGAAGTCAACTTAGAGAACATCAGAGGCTTTGAATCAAACCAGAAAAATCTCAAAGCTGCAAGGCCAAGTGTCAGCCACAGAAGAAAATTCATAAAAGATCATCAAAAGTGCCTGGTAAACCAGAAGATTTTACAAAGAAAGCAAGAAAAAGATTAAACTTTAAAAAGTCACTTCAAGGCAAGAATTATCAGGTGGTAGAAAACATTTTTGGAATTTAGGGAAGATGCCAATCAGCTAATTGCATAAATTAAATTAAGGCTGTGCCCAGCACCCCATGGGGGAAGGAAAAACCTTTCCCTGATCTGCAGCCTGACCCAACAAACAGATAGGGAGACATCCAATCAGTGCAAATAAAATACACTTTATAGGCAGAAAAACCCATGGAAAAGTGCAGGCACAGTTTGAGAAASAGCAAAATAATTGTATGAGAAAGACAGTCCCATAAAAGTGTGAAGAATTGTGAGATGAACAATGGCAAGGTTGGGTTGATGGATGAACTATTCCCCAGCTCCTTGGGGAAATGAGCTCTGCTCTCACCAGACAGTTCAGGACAGAAGAACAGAAACTGAAAGCAAATGATGGCCTAATTAATTAAGGATCTATCTAACAGCTAATCACTGCACTGGAGAGAGACGCTGACTGATAACACTGGGAAAAAGGAGACAAATTTTCCAAGAGAAAGCGTGGACAGAGCTGATGGAAATGTCAACCCACTACTTCTCACCTCTATTTTCCTACATATTCTTGTGCTCCCCCAGGCTTTTATCTTCTGACCAACCATTAATGACCATGCAAAATTAAAGTTTGTGTTTGTTGTTCTCTATCAGGTGTTAAAAGGAGGAACATTCTGGGTGTGAAGGCACATGGCACAACCAGTGCTCACTGTCAACAATGGGACACTGAACATCATCCGTGCACTGCTGACAAGAGTGCAAGCACCTCTCTGAAATTCACTGCATTATTTCCACTGAAATTCACTGTATTCTTTCCAAGGAAATTCACTGAAATTCACTGCATCCTTTTCACTGAAATTCACAGAAATTCACTGCATATTTCCACTGGAATTCACTGCATTCTTTTCACAGAAATTCACTGCATTCTTTCCATTGAAATTCACTGCATTCTTTCCATTGAAATTAACTGCATTCTTTTCACAGAAGATCACTGCATCCTTTTCACAGAAGATCACTGCATCCTTTTCACTGAAATTCACTGCTATTCACTGCATTCTTTTCACAGAAATTCACAGAAATTCACTGCATTATTTCCACTGAAATTCACTGCATCCTTTCCACTGAAATTCACTGCATTCTTTTCCACAGAAATTCACTGCATTCTTTCCACTGAAATTCACTGCATTCTTTTCACTGACATTCACTGCATTCTTTCCACTGAAATTCACTGCATTCTTTTCACAGCCTGTTACAGAAGAGGAGTTGCTCTATTGCTGTTTTTCCCTCCTGACTTCTCAGGTCAATAAACACCAGAAAGGCACAATCCACATGGATTATCGATGCTTACAGGTTACATAATCCTAAAATCACAAATGAAATGTTGGAAGCATTTAATGTCAAAATAAACAGCCTTTAGGTGCTCGATCTATTTGCTTACCTTTGCTTGCACTCTCAACATGCTGCAACTCATCTGGGAATTTTAAGATGTCCCGGTAATTCTCCTCACAGATTTCTGCCAGAAAATGCAACAGGGTGGTTTTTTGATCTGATGATTTTGTGTCTCGAATCTAAAAGTGAACACAGGAGAAAATAGAATTAAAAAAAAAAAAAAGTTCATAAAATGTTTCAATAAAGTGAATATTGCAGATATCAACTCATTAGCAAAAAGTTACTTATGCTGCAAATGAAACAGATTATTTAAAAAATGAAATTTCCTGAATTCTTCACAATTTAGGACTATACCATGAAGTACTTCAAAAAAGAATGATCAATTTTGATGTGAACAAAATSTGAAGAGAGTCCCTAAAGTTCTGAGATTTTAGCATTGCCATTTTTCAGATTCGTCCAGATAAAAAAAAGAGCTGTGAACAGAGATTAAACAGAATTTAGAACATTCCTTCAATGCCACAAAYACCAGTTCTCTAAAGGACTCCCTGAAATGCTCTATAGCTGCACATTGCACCAACAGTCAGAATTTGTATTTTGACCAGTCAAGTTAAAGTTACTCCTTATTGTAAATCCACAATTTTTTCTTGAAGCAAAATCTAAAATATGCTGCTTTAGGGTAAAGACTTTGAGACAAATTCTATCCAGACACACAAAACAAATGTACCCTGCCTTACTGGAATAGAGAATGACAACAAGAACAAAGCAAAGGTAATCTGGACTGTAGGTAAAGGAAATTTAATACATCCAGTTGTATTTCTGAAAAGCTGCAGAAAAGCTGTGCACAATGTGAAGTAACAGGTAATTGTRTATTTTTGCTGTTCTTTCAGCTGCAGAGGCATTTTTTTTTTTGTGGTCTGAAATAAATCAGTGTTCTTAGAAGTTATAAGACTCTGTTCTCCATTAGCCTGAGCACATGAACTGCTGAAATGAGTCTTTTTGGTTAAAAAAAAACTCCACAAAACATCTGAAATAATTGCTGGAATACAGGACCAGGGACAGCTTTCCAACAAGCTCATGGCTAAACCACACAGCAGAGTGCACATGTCTACAAAAAGAGACATCATGAACTTAGGAGAATGAGGTAAATTTAAGACCAAGTTTTCCCATTTTTATGCAGCTCTAATAAAGGAATGTGTGAGGTGATGGGAGATGCAGCAGAAGCAGAGATTCCCTCTTGTTCTCAAAGGCAACAAAGAGCAGGTGTAGGTAAGAGTTGGAGAGCAGCACACTTCATTTGGCACAGAGAATTAGTAATACATCTGTGAGGAATTGCTCTAACAGCATTGCACTTACTCATCCAGCACAGCTCTTACAGAGGAGTAAGCTACAACATACACAACAAATGAAATAAAGGATTTATTTAAGAAGAATACATAAATGCGTGTGTAAAATCTCCTATTTGTTTTCTCATTCTCTAAATCACTCCAAGTTCTAATTCCATAATCCTCATGACAGGCTTGCCATCGATGTTCAATTTAATAGAGGCCTTTCAGCTTTAAGGATTACCCTGTTAAGAATAAATGAGTGCAGTGGAAAAACAGGCTTTTAAAAATATAAGGTATTTAGGCAATTAAGAAAGCAATTTAATTCATACCAATTCAGCGATTAAAGACTAAACAATGCTCAGTAATGGTATGCAGTTAAAGGGCTTTAATGTGTTACACACACAGAAGTTCTTCTGACTTGAAAAAACAAAATCATAGATTTAGTGGCTAAACATCTGCATGGAAAAAAAGAAATTGCATTTCAATTTGTCTGTGAACAACAGTAGTGGGATTTGCAGTCTTTGATCTCTCTGACATCATCAAGTGGATAAAGCACGTTTTTTTTTCTAAATGGACAAAATTATTTTGCTTTCAAATTACAACAGAAACATGTTTTGCCACCAATGGCAACATCCYATCAACAAGAGCCAGTATTAGCACCTTGTAGTAAATATTTATTCTGATCTTGGACAAATGTATCAAATCCACTTCTTTGGCCCAATCATAAACAAGTCTTGGCTATATTCATCCTTGTTTTTAACACAATGGACACAGATATGTCTGTTTGATATTTAGAATCAATACCTATACTTTAAAAATCAATTTCTAAGCCTATAATAGAATGAAAAATAAGGTGGTGTTTGTTGTTTAGCACAWACCATTTAAATATAAAAATAGAATTTAAAGGTAGGAACTGCAATGGTGACACCATGGCTGTGTCTTTCCAGTCTCKGTATTCACACACTGTGCTTGTATTCAATATATTCTCATATTCAATAACCCACTCATTATTTAAATTTTTTTGCATATAAATGCAATATTTTTTTACATTCCATTTCTTTACCTGMAGGAATTATGCCCAATAAATATAATATTCCTTGGCTTGTAAARACCCTAATGGCTTAGCCTGATTTCTGCTGTTCTACACGCTGCAGCCAAGTGGATGAAAAGAAAAAAGAGCCTATTAAATTGTGCTTACAAGAGCTGGAGCTGGACTTTGATGAACCTCGTGGGTCCCTTCCAACTCAGGATATTCTATCATTCTGTGATTCGGGATAAATTTTTAACACAGCAGTGTTAAAATTTTAAAATACAGGTTTTGAGTCTATGGCCTTTCCTTTCTGGAGAGACAGAATCTGGAAATAACATGTTTAGTTTAAAAATAAATGAAATAAATTGGTAGATCAGTGTGGGCTGCAGAAAGCAGCTCCAGCTGAATGCTGAAGCATAAATTGGAGGGTCAACACCATGAGATGAATTGTTTGGGAAAGGATTAAAGGACAGAGGATACAGAGAATGTACAGCACTGCCATTCCAGCCAAGGAACACACAGGATAAGGGGTTGGGTTCTGTAAGGCAGAGAAACACCCAAAAACCCCTCCCTTCACACAGAGCAAGGATTCAAACCATGCCAACCACACCATAAACAGTTCCAGAACGGGTTGGTGTTTCCAACCACACCATAAACAGTTCCAGAATGGGTTGGTGTTTCCAACCACACCATAAACAGTTCCAGAATGGGTTTCCCCAGGTCCTTCTGGATGCAGTGCTCAGGTGAGGGTAAAACGTGACAGCCAAAGCAGGGAAGAATTTATGTCTGAGCCATCACCAGAGTGACACTTTATTACAGCTATAAAAGAGCCTTCTATTGATTTTTATGAGATTATAGACCTTCTCATGCCCTAGAAATCTTCCCCTCCTTACCAGAACAGGGGCTGCTGGCCAATAAATGAACCCTCATCAGTAACACTCAGGCTACATAAACAGCTTGTGTGTTACTGTGTGCACTATGAACAGAGCAACACCAAATAGTAAATGCACAGAGCACACATGGAGCCAGCCAGGACACAACAAAAGCTGGATTAAACCCCAGGGAGGCTGCCTGGCAGCCCTCACTGCATTCCCCAGCACAGGGCAGGAGCTGTGCCTCTCATCCCCAAAGCAAAGCATCCCCAAAACAAATCCTTCCATTCCCACAGAGCACAGGGCTGGAATTCCACAGGGTCCTTTCCATTGCCCTGGGGGTTCAAAAAGCAGCTGGACCCTGGGTCTGCATTCAACAATCAAAACAAAGATTGACCTTTAGTGCTCCCTACATCCCCTGAGCACCCTTCCTGCCATATTTCTGTTTTCAGAGCATTTCATACCCAGGAAATGAGGATGCTCTGATGCCTACATGGGAATTGTTGCTCTCTCTTGCCAGTCTCAATGCATCACACCAATTCTGATGTTGATGGCTCTTATTTGAACAAAATTAAGTTTTCTGCCTTCTGCCAAAGGTTTTTTACAAATCATTTCTATCTTCAATACCATCATCCGCTGCAATATAACATGCAGAGAGATRATCTGTTTTTAAGGATTTCCAATTACCATTCAGTCATTAGCCTTCTAGCTCAGACAGGTTGGAGTTAGTGCTTTTATTTTCTTTCTCATGTTTTAATAAAAGTTGCTACACAAAACCAGATTTCTGGGTACGAAATGACCAGCTCTGTTGTAAAAACATTCATTTTCCAAAACCAAACATTTATCCCAGATCAATATTTGCCTTTTTTCTTCTCTTTTTTTCCCAGACTGTATAATGTAAGCACTACATCTAGTAAACAGACAATTAATTTTAAGATTGCTCAAGAAACAAGCAAAAAAAAAGAAATCAATAGAAAACTCTGGTTTTATTGAAAAGTGAATTCATCACATTAGGATTCCTCATCATGAAGTGTGTGCATTCTGCWCACAGAAATGTGTACACAGACGTGTTCTGCCTTGCTGACAGCTGACTCAAAAAAAAAAAATTTTGTTATCATGGGCAGAAAGACCACTAAATAATAGTCACTGGTCAAAAAAAAGGAGTTTTTCTATCAAGGTGAAATCTGGAGGTACACACCAGATCTCCCCATGGTRCCCAAAAAAGGGACCTGAAATCTGGATCTTCTGATTAGACAAAAAGGAAATCTGCAATTTTTATGCAATTTTTATGCTATCTTTTTTTAAATCCATTTACAATCATTGTATATCTCTAAAGACACTTTCCAATTCACCTTTCCAGGTGAGCCAGTGAAGTTGAGATCAGTGCCTCACACACACTGTACAAGCCCTGCACACCAATATCTGACTGCTCCACATTTCACTTCTTGGTCCACCCCACATTTTTTGAACTCCAGCTTTGGTTAAAGGTTAACCACGCTCATCTTAAACACAAATCCTTATTTCTGTGACAGTGCCTGAAGGACAGCAGAGCACAAGATGCAAAGACAGAGCAGTAACGAGGTGTTTAACACACACACTCTGTGTATATTCTATTGACAGGGTAAGTAAACAAACTCAGATCGAAAAAATTTGTTCTACTTTGCACTCSAGAAGGCTCAGAACAAACTCACAATGAAACTGCCTTGAATAAATCCCTGTTGCAGCAGAGACCATCCTGGAAGTGCTTACTCTGTRTTTCCCTGTCCATTATTAAGCACAGAGGTGCAGTCAGTAAATTACACTGACTGAATGCTTTTCCCTGCTCAGGGCACTTCCTCATGTGTCCCAAGTTTCATGAATCTGCACTTTGGTGTTTTATGGCTCAGCTCACCTTGCAGAGAAAGCTGATGTTGAARCCGAGGGATTGTGCGTTTCTGGAGCCAGAGTTCATGTAATTGCCCAGGAACAGCACCAGCTCCAGCAGTTTGCTGAAGCTTTCACTCTTTTTGAGCTCCTCACAGGCCAGGGTCACRGCCATGATGTCGGGTTTGATGTTGTTCACGTGCTCCTCGAACATGAGGCGGAACAGGATCCCGTTGAGCCGCGAGCGCAGCATCTTCACGGAGCTCATCTGTGCAACACAAACATCACAGCAAAACAGAAAATCCCAAAATCAGTTATGAAAAGCTTCCATTAAATAAAACCCCCAAAACTGAGCCAGCAAACCCACAGTTTGTGCATGTTTCCATTGCCTATCTTGCATTTCCAGGAACACCAAGCCCCTGCCACCTTTGYGATTCAAACACTTGGCAAAAGGGAGCACAGGACTAATTCTTCCTGATGTTGTAATATGGTAAATGACAGAGATACTGAAACTATCCYAGAGTAGTGATTCATTAATTTCAATCCCCAAGACCAAATTCAATGGCCTCGGTAACAAAATACAGCCATGTCTTTCCTATTTTGCACAARTCATCAGGGTCATTTCCTCCCACTTAGCACACTGTAATTCACAGGAGAAATTCAAATTAGGAGAAAAATATGTACTGAGCATTTTTAAACCACTTGAAATCTTTTATTTAATTGCAAGAATGATTATGTTCCAAATCTATCTCCTTTTACTTAGCAGAACACAAAGATTTCTTCCCAATGTATTCACATCAGTGGTGTTCCTGCAGCACTCAGCAAGAAAAGATTTATAATGTGACAAATCAGGTCCTGAGTATCAAAACAGAAAGATTTTTGTGTGCTCCTGTCCCTGTTGGCCCAAATTTGACCATGGTCCTTTGAGGAACCACAATTTTACTTCTGGTGTTGTCCACCCAAAGCTACCAGAAGCAGCAGCAAAAGAGTTTCACAGGAAAGACTCAAGTGGCCTGAATAATAATGAATTAATTCCAAAATGCACATAAACATGAAGGCRCTCCAGATGGTCTCAAACAATTCCTATGATCAGGCTGGAACAAGGAAAAGGAAAGAATCAGAAAAGAAGCATTTCAGCATAACTAGTGATCTTTTTTTRTAAATCTCCATTGTCATAAATTTCTCTCTGAGCCTCTATAAGCCAAAATCATTGAAAGTCTTGAAACATTATTCTTCTAATCATTCTGTATTTCAGAAATATCTTACTGAAAACATCTGCCTTGAAAGGATCTACTTACACTAATCTGCAGTAGATGGAAATTAAAATTAATCACATAATTTGCTTTAACTTTTGTAGAACAATCTCCAMTTGCTGTTTTTACTCAAAATGACACAGAAAAAAAAGTTGTTCAAAGCTTTAGATCCCAAAACCAGARTGTATAAACCCACAGGAGAGCATGACAAACATTTCTGAAGAATAACCCTTAACAATACTTCAGAGAGGTGCACTTTATTCTTTTAATATTGTGAAGTGTCATGGAACACTGAGCATTTGTTTCCTTTGCCAGGTAGCTCGACCACCAAATATTAGTGCAGKAAGTTTTAATTGCATTTGCTGACCTACATAATATTTTAAGAAATTATACAGATTGCTTTAAGAGCTGTTTCAGGTGGGCTGTTTCCTTAAAATCCAGAACATTTTCATRCACATAATGCCCTTTAGGTATCAGCAGAGCAAGGCCAGAAATGCTGTTTCAGTTCCTCCTGCCTCACCCTGCCCTGATTTCCCCTTTTGTGGAATCCACGTGTTCAATGATAAAAGTGAAAACAAATTGACCTTTGAGGAATATTCTAGAATCAGGTAAGGTACAAAGATTACATTCACTTAAAAAGCTCAAATTCTTTAAATGGCTCTACAAAATTATTGTCAAAAACACGTAAGAAATAAGATATTGAAAGAGGTGCAGGAAGCAGCAGGCATTGGCTTCCACTGCAAACACTTGAAGAAGCAAGAAAATGAAAATTTCTTCTGCAGCTGAGTGGCAGTGCTGGGCTGAATGTCATTATCTCCCCTTCTGGGCTTTCATAAAGGTCTTGTCTGAACTCTCCACCTAATCAAGTTCTTTATTCAGTTCTTTATGCTTTATTATCATCATTCAATTCTCAAGCCCTGTATTAAAACGAGGATCAAAGGCTATTGGAGAAAGGCAAAAAGCACAATTAAATTTGCCTCACTTCCTAAGAAAAAGCTGACATTCCTCTAATAAAAATTTGTCAACTAAGACAACTTAGCCTCTTTACCTATGTTATATTAAAGTTGCCTTTTTTTCCCTGGCAATGTTCTAGGAAGATTAATTCTGCAGCAGCTCACGAAATTATAATGAGGCCAAACAAGCCACCAATAAATTCAATTTAAAAGACTGAATGRCTCTAAACCAATGGAGGTGCAATAAACTCATACAATTCTCCCCATTTTGTTCACCTCCCAGCCAGGACTGTTCACGACAGCTGAGCTGGTTTGACAGAAAAAAAAAGAGTCACAGAATATGCACATTTATACAACTACTCAGCCAAACTTGGGCTTTTCTAACCCAATAAATGTTCAGCTGGCACTGCAATGGAAACCCAGCTCCTTACAGAAGTTGCAGCTGTTCCCATATCATAAAAWAATGAACTCCTGAACACAAGGTTTMCAGYTAAAATTCAGATACCATTCTGCCCAGCTTAGTTAATGTTATACAGCTGATTCAGTTAATCTATTCTTCTTGCTCTACTTCAACATCAATGCAAACTTCCCCTCATATSAAGTTGTGTTCCTTTTTTTGATCCCAGGATATAACTTCAAAAAGTTCCAATAACTCATTAGAATGTATAATTGATTTTAACATTTCATCTAAATGAAAATGCAGTTCTAATTTTCATTTACATATCAGCTGAATACTAAGTTTATCGGTCTCTTCTAATAAGTTAATCATTTACTAAGTATGGTTTCTCTACACAAATTTTAAGCAACTTATTCCAACCTTTATTAAATTTGATGGGTAAAGTGATTATCCAATTAACATAGCTTAATAATCAACATACCTAGATTTACATAAAAATAAGGGTACACATTTTAAATATTATTTAAGACAGTCTGTCTTCCCTTCCCAATGTCAAGGTTAAGATTATTATTAATGCAGAACACAAAATTTATTTGACAGATAGTGAAAAAAGAACTTCAGTCAAGTAAAGAGYTGAAGTTCAGCTGCATTTTAACCACTTTAATGGATAATTCAGCTCTATCAAAATCAGAAACAAGCCCAGMATTTCAGCACCAGTAATGGATTAGAGGCCTCTAGAAAGAAGACAGAAGCACTCCCCATAAGGCAAAGGACTGGTTTTTATTAAACCAGATGGTAAAGCTGAATAAGCAAACAAGCTGCAGGAAACTCAGTTCCTTCGTAAGGCAAACAGCACCATTTGGAGATGTTTGATTAAGCAGTTTTTGCTAATTAATGTTGCATTAAACACTTGAAAACTCTCTCAACTTCCTACAGTCAGTCTGTCCTGAGAAACACAAATCAATGAAATGGTGATGGTGACTGTTGGGAAATCAGGGGACTTTTATGACGTTTTCAAGAATRTTTTACTGCTGCAGTTCTTGCAATAAGACTGACTAATGTACCACACTTCTTCCAAAATTCCTCATCTTTGTTGGGAAATAAAACTTTTTGGAACTTTAATCCATTTATTTAAAAAAAAAAAAAAAGGAAATCAATAGGCTGAAATTTTTCAAAAGAAGCCACTGATATCTTTCATTTTCTAAATCCTCTACAAAAATCTCATTAGGACAAATCATATTCCATTACTTCCCCAACCAAAAAATAATTTAAAAAAAAAAACACTCAAAAGGCACTTCTGAAGCCAAATTATGCTCAAATCAGAGCTTTTTAGCAAAAAAAAAGTCTTTTAAGAGGCCTCTATTTCTGCTTTAATGCATTTTAATGTACATAATGCCTTAAAAAATCCAGCAAGAGCAAACGTAGCTCCTGTGGAGTTGGGGATAAATCCTGAGCGTGTTACAGAGGCTCTCATCATCATTTTAATCTCTTAGGCTGCCAGAGTGAAGCAAAAACAGGAACTCATTTGCCTAAAGACTTCTCAGGTCTCAGGAAATCCAGGAGCAAAAAGTGATTTCCAAGGCCTGGCACAGAACTCAGGAGCTCAGACCCCACAATCACCACCAGAATAGATTCAATAACTCATTTATTAAATAATTAACTTCTGCAAATGCTGCCATTGCCAACTGTCTGTGCCATGGAATAACTGGGTCTGCCACAGACTCAAGGAAATTTATATGCTTGAAGCCAGAGGGTTCTTCAGAGAAGATTTTAGATAATAATAAATGTTTATAATAATAAATGTTTTAGATAATAATAAACGTTTAAGATAATAATAAACATTAAAGACAAGTCAGGCAGACAAAATGTTTGGTCTGGCACATGATTGCCTGTTGCTGTTGATGGCACAGTGTAATTCCATTCCCAGAATCATGGAATCACATGGTGGTTCACATTGGAAATGACCTTACAGCTCATCTGGTCCCAACCCTGGCTGGCCTAACACATATTCAAGACATTTTTTGATTATTCAATAGGAAATAGTATTTTTTTCCTACTGTAGGTCTTGCAAAAACACTAAAAACAATATTTTAACCCTAAAATTCTTTCTTTTCATGTGCCAAAGTGGAACTCTGCAGTTTATCAGTGCATTCATACGTACCACAACTCCAAACTGCTCCGGCTCAGCGAGATCGTTATATTCATCCTTTAATTCAGCTAAGGCATTGAGTTCTTTCTGCTCAGGAAGATTCTTCACCAGGTTCTAAAACAAACAAGGCATTATATCAAATTTGTTCTATTAAAACACCTGAGAGACCCAAAATAACACATTTAAAATAGCACAACATGGAAACGCACCAGGAAATTACGGGGCGCTTATTTTATTCGCCACGATATAAACATCAAATCAAAGCAGTAATTATTTAATACAGACATCAACTGCTCTGCTGCAGTCTCTGAGCTGAAGAATGCTTTCTCTGTATTAAAAGGTTAGAGGATCATTTTCCAGGTCTGACAGCATCAAGGAGTTTTGTCCATCTGCAATCTCTTATTGCCCTAATGGTTGCATCTTGCTCATTAAATATTAATCAAGAAATAACTGGTGTAAAACATGACAAAACTAGTAAAATTAAAAAAAAATTACAGTCTTGAGGCTTTCAAAGTAGCTGTGCACAAATTACACCTAAAAACACCTCACACAAAAAAGGTCAACATCCCAAATTGCACAGATCTTTTGGATGGCAAATATAGAGGAATTCAGGAAAAAGCTGAACTTGCTTGCAATCTTACTCATGTCCCCAGAGCAAATTGTGAATTATTATATGATCTTAACATCTCAAAATGCAGATATGCCAAATATATAAAATACTTCTGTTAAGACTGAAGAACACTTTAAAAAATACCCAGTGAAAGTGTAGATTGTATTTAAATGTTTAAAATTTCATCAGTTGAAATCAAAGCAATAATATAATTCTTTAAAGAAAAAAAAATATAAAATTATATTTAAGCAAACATCAATAGGAAAAGTTATACGCCTGTTGGAAAAGCAGCCAGCACTGCAGCAGCACATTTTTTTCAGATATAAAAATTTTAATTGGAGAAAATCTGTACTATTAGAGGTACAGATGTCTTATTTTTAGAACAGCCCAATCTTGCCATCATCTTGTAATATTTTTCTTTGTTTTGAGAATTTGATTACTGATCACCGTGCCAGGCTGGAAGGAGACATTAAGGTCCAACTTGGAGAAAGGAATCAGTCTAATTTGTCAAATTTGCAAGTGATAACAAACTTAATTCTCCGAGCTGAAAGAATCAAACATTCACCCATCTTAATTAAAAAAAAAATAAAGATGACAGGCAGCCTCAGACAAACCATCCCTGCTGCAGAAAGGTTTTTATCTCACACTGAGGAGTTACTGATTGTCTCAGAAAGCAGAGCTCAAAACTTCTGGCACAGAGAAACATCACAGTCACCTCTGTGTCACAGTAAAGCTGTGATTAAACCTAAGTTTGTTTCCTATTAACACAAACCTATGTCCCGCAGGTTTATACTTGAAAAAAAAAAATTAAGGATCTGTAAAACATTCTTGCTCATTTGATAAATTGCTTAATGTTGGTAAAGATCAAAGACATTAACTGAGGCAATTTTTTTAATCTATTTTGATTAGCTAGACTATTTACCAGATGCTGTCCTCCAGAATTTCACAGTATTTGTCAGAAATGGAGATTTCATTGCACATTAATAAACTCACTGTAAAACATTGCTTTTCCATCAATGCAGAAATAGAAGAATATTGCTAAAGCAGCTGGTTTGTAGCTGTGTTACCAATATCTGTTCACTGATAACAGATCTGTGCTTGATTTTTCCTTCTCCTCACCCAACCCTCAATGGGTCAGAGCCAAGGGATTAACTGATTTTATTCCAGCTTGTAACAGGAACAGTTTGGCTCTGCCCACACTGCAGCTCCTTTTTTCAGATATACACACAGCTAAATCTGTATATTTACATCCACTGCATGGATTGAATAACTGAAAATGAAGATAAAGCATTCAGTGATCACATATTCAAACCCTGTCAGTACTTCAGGAAACACTTTCCTGCTCTATTCACTATGATGCAGGTTGAAATAAAAAGAAGGGAAATAAAAATGGTTCACGTAAGCATAAAAAGGAAACCAAGGTTGACACGAAGAGGCTGAAACTGTCACTCACTGCTCACTGTCACAGGCCCTGAATCCTGTCAGACATGGTGTTTGACAACTGTCTGCTTCCAACAACTTACCCCCTCTAAGACACACCAGGAATGGAAAACATTTTTTTCCCAGTGTTTCCCTTGAGGAAGAGTCACAACAGTACATATTCTACCAGGTACTCCCACTCATTAATCCAATTTATTGAAGTATTACAATGCAAGTTTAAAAAGCAGCAAGAAACGAGTGCCTGAGAAGCAAAATGGAAAAAGCACTTTGCTATCTGCTTGATGATGCCATATCCATTCCACTTCCACTCTTTGATACTTAGAACAAAGCACTTTCCACACAGGCACTTTATAAAGTCTGAGTTTTGCTAAGCATGGAAGGAAGCAAGGCTTGCTTTGCACAATTTTTCCAATCTTAGTATTAAAAACTGCTAAATTGGTAAATTAGTTGAAAGATCAGAATAAAAATGAACCAGAACAGACTGAGTAAGAGATGGATGATCCATCCCCAGTCCATTTGGATGAAAATCTCTGAACACAGAGCAATCTCTCCCAGGTATCAGCAGCATCTCCCTGCAACTGGAGGCAGCTCTGCCATTCCCTACACAAAGGGACCAATCTCAAAGCACCAATTTTCTGCACATTTTATTCTGCTGAGTTTCTGGATAGCTGCACCCATGATCCACTCACACACATTTATTCTGGAGTTACACCTTGCTTTTGTCCCTGCTGCTCACACCCATCCCTCTCCTCCCCACACAGTTGTACCCTGCTCATATCCTGCCAGCTATTTATATATTGCTGATCTAATCAAGCCAATCTCTTCTGCTTCCTTCTGGAGACTGCTCCTCTATCCCTCAATCATCTGAAGTAGTTTTTAAGTTCAGCTTCTCTATTTTAAATTCATTTGTGAGAAATGTACCAAGTCATTTAGGTAAGGTCATGGAAGGAGACTATTCAAAAGCACAAAAATTATCCTCCTGACTGGAAATCCTTGACCCAACACACCTTCCAATCACAGTGGCCTTTTTTGTGGTCACCCAGGCCTGGCTGGGATGAAGTTAATTTACCTCACAGGAACCCATAAAGTGTCATTTTAACTTGTGACCAAAACAGGGCTGAATTATCACTGGTGGAGCTCCTCTGTGGAGCTCCATTTGTACAGAGATCAGTGTGAAACCACTTCAGCCGTCCAAGTTGTTTCCTCCCCCTTGATTTTTGATTTTACTAAACCTGCAAGCTTCTTAATCACAGGATCTGATCAATAAACCAAGTCCTCAATAAATTTAATACTTTGAACTTATTTTCAGATACTGAGGCAACTCAGTTCAGACCAGAGTCTCCAGAATAATCATTTTTCCAGTCCAAGAAATGCAGAATAAATTAATTTAGAAAACCTTGGAGGGGAATGGGACAAAGATGCAACCAGGAGCCAGGGAAGGATGAAAGGATAAATTGAGGCCCAGTGTTGAATATAATATTAAATAAAACAACACAGCATTACTGGGGTGCTAAACCTGAGTAACTTTTAGGATTTGCATGCTTCTCTGTCGAACTGTCACTCCTCAGACATCATAGGGACCATGCACACACTCTCCTCCTTCGGGGAGGAAATCAGACAGGGATGTAAAGAAGCTGCATTCCATCTTTTCTTCTCTCCAACTGAGAGATTTGGGGCTCCAAACGAGGCCAAACACGCTTGAGAGCAGGTTTGATCTACAGACAGGTTTGGAGTAGCAGCACTATCCTGAAACACTCGGGGAGTTTCATCTCTCACTGGAGACAGGCAGAGCTGCTCCAGAGCTGCTTCCACAAGAAAACTCATCAAACTTCATTATGCACCAGCCTACATGTTTTTGAGCTTGACTTTGAAGCTGAAAAACCAAAATTCTCAAATATTTCCTTTTGGAAGGGGAGATTCCAAGGCTTTGTTTCTTAAGAGTGTCTTTGAAAAGCCATTTTACTGCTCCATGTGACCATATTCCAAAGCAGAAGGGAAATCAATGAAACAGTAAATACAACTGCTACACTTGCAGCTGATACCCTACAGCAAATCTGCACTGCTCTTACTCATGAATTCCTACACCTTCAGGCCATTTCCATGAGGAAAACGAGCCATGAACAAAAGCAGAGCTATTTTCACATACCTGAATCAAGGATTCACTCAGCTTCTCTTCATCAACCTCCAAAATGATATTTTTTATTTCTTCGTAAGGCAAACGGAAGGAACCCAAAAATATTGCTGAAATTCAGTAATAAATCATTAGAATCAAAAAGGTCAAAATGATTGATATACAAAGGTAAACAATTTCTAGCAAGTCAAAAAAATTTGTATTTTCATCCAAACTGTGTTTCACAGTTAAGAAGTCTCCTCTACAAAACAAATGCTACATGAGGCACACCACTGCAGTTTACAATGAATTTTCTTATAATGACCTATAATGAATTTTATTTCTAAGAGATGAAACTGTGACAACACTTTTAACTTTTTAATCAGCCTCAGTTGCTCCCTATCAATGTCACTTAGCAATAAAGTCTTATCTTTATGAATGACATTTGCATTACTACTTACACAGACCTACTGAGCCAATAAAGACCTTATCATCATTACTATTATTATTATTATTATTATTGCTTCCATAACCATTTATGAAAAGCTGCACTGCATTTGCAATTGAGTAAGTTATATTTACATGGTATTTTACAAAAAATTCTACATCAAAGGGGTAATGAAGAGCTGGACAAAGTAAGAAAAAATTGCCCGAACATCACTTTTTAGGGTAACTGAACTTATGCAAGAGACACATAAAATGCAAACCCTTCAAAGATGGATTTCTCAAAGCAATTTGATCTCAGAATGTTATAAAATCTCAAGAGAGCCCCATTCACTAAACCACAGAGCAGTCTTAACAGATGGAGCAGCATAACATGGTAACAAAGTGCTTTATATTCAGCCCAGCTACCATGGCTGATGATCCCACACCCATCCACACTCTCAAAACCTGAAATTTGATATCAATTGGGTCACAGTTCATTCCCTGCTCATGGATGTGCTACTCAACAATGCACAGATTTGGTTTTTCACACTTATTTGCCATGGGCAGAGTCAGACTAGTGCCATTTATGGTGTTTCTAACTCAAATAAAAGACTTTACTACTCTTAATGATTATTTCCCTCCATAATTAAAGAGGGAAGCAGCAATGTGAATGTACAAGTGGGCAGGTTTTGTAACCATTTACAGCAGTATGTTTGCACATATTTAGCCCATCTATAACACCTTCTCTTTAACCTCTTTTCCTTCATTGCTCTGCCCAGGAGGAGCCATCAGGAAAGGTCACCAAAGTCCATCCCACCAAAGCCACCAGCACTGTGCCCTGCCCCAAACAGGGACCATCAGCTCATTTAGTCTGGAGCAATAAATGAAAGAACAGACTGACAAAAAAACCATTCAGTAGCTCATTCAGTCTAAATAGTTTTCCTTTTTTTTTTTTTCTTTCATTTTTTCCAGGTTATATGATGTATTCAAACAATTTTGAATTTAGGACTCATGTTCAAATTAGCAGTTTTCAGAAAAAAAAAATGTTAAGACATGTTAGCAAAAAAAGAAAATTTATCAACAGTGAGGTGTAGACAATACTTAGATATTGACCTAATGGTTTACACACCACTTACATAAATTTTGTGCAGATTTTCCATCCAAAACTCTTAATTCTTTGATCTTCTTCTTTGACTGAGCCGCTTTCTTCTCTTCTGATTCTTCTACAGGCTTTTTGGCTGGAAAGGAGGTATTTATTAAATTCTATTCATTACTACAACTGTTCAATCTTAGCTAACAGCAAGTCCATTAGAAAGCCATAATAATACATTTTTAGAATAAGTTCAAGGCAAAATGACTGCACTGCCTCAATTTACTGTAAAATATCCAAACAAACAAAGCAAATGTCCAAAACTGAAAGGAACAAGGAATAAAAATATGATAATGAACAATTTTCCCAAGCACTATCAAATAATATTTATGTATTTTAACCTGGGAAATTTCACTTCAGCTCCAATTTATTGCAAGCACTTTTAAAAATACAGGGATCTGGTGTTACCTCAAAGCACGTGAGTGCCCTCTATTGAAACATAAATCATATTAATAAGTTCTTTATCCAAAACCAACAACTTGAATCATTTGATATTTATCACACTGAACAAAGGTATGTTTCTATTAATTATTTATGTTGTCAGTGGTAAAAAGCAAAACAAAACAGTGTATAATTTAAAGCAATTTCTTTTAAATTAGCAAGAATCAGTAGCCTTTTATTCAGCACTTGAAATTATATGGGAAGAAATGTGGTATTGGAGTACCTAAAATATAAGCTGATTTTTTGCATAATTTAAAACAGTCAATTTCCACCAAATTTTCTTAAGCATTAAGTAAACCCATTAACAAGGATTTATTTCCTTTTAAATATCACATAACATATTTGGCACTGAAGGAATAGAATCTTAACATTAATTGAACTTAACATTAATTGTGCTTAACATTAATTGAACTTAATGAATATTTTAAGTCATTCAAAAGTGACTGAACAACTGCAAAGTCAAATTAAGAAGTTTCAAGCACCCTGAACACAGTTTTGTTCTCTGAGCACTATTTTTTGTTGCACTCTAATGAGCCATCACAGCTTTCATTACAGGTACCTCCTAAGAAAAAAAGTTAATTTTTACTGTGAAGAACAACATGAAATCTCCGTTTCAACCTCTTTAATATTTTTTTTTTCTAAAATAACACAGAAAACAGGTGTTTGCCTCCTTACACCCATTACCACAAGGAAAACATCTGGCATGAAGCAATTTTGCTGGGTTTATAGCACTGAATAATCAGTTTACCTTGGGCATTTTCATGCCAGAGCTGATTGGGGCAGTACCAGGAGCTCCCTCTGAAGAGCCCAGAGCAGGGAAAGCTGCACAGAAATGAGAATTCCACAACACAGCAACACTTGCTGTCCCCTTGCCTTGCACTGCCCTGCAGCAGCTGCTTTGGGATTTGTGTGTGCCCTGAGATCAGCACAGAACCCCAGAATTCACCAGAACTGAGCCCTGAACTCTAATGAGCTCCCTTTAAAATTCTGGAATGACACTTGATCAAGTAATCAGACCTTATTGCTAATTGTTCTCAATTGGACAAGGAAATCAGACCAGGTGCTCAACAACACAAACAAAAAAATACCCCAAGAGTTAAAATGAGCTGTCCCAGGGGAAGGGAACAAACACTACGAGTTCTGTTCCACCAGAGACACTGCATGGATGGATCTGTGTCTGCTGAGAGATGGGAAAACGGCTCAGGAAGATGAGTGACCTATTGCAAACCTGATCTGTCCATGAGTTAAACCCTCCAGATCTCCATGGATCCCGTCCTTAGAGCATTGACCACTGCCCCCCTCACCCCTTCACAAACATCAGATGATGTCTGGCTTAGATTAAAACTTTTCTACTTGACAAAGGCCAGATGAAGATGTTCTTTCCAAAAAGTTCTAATCTTTCCACGCATGAGACTCGAAGTTAACTTCATGCCAATTCACAAAAACCAGAGACACACCAAACCAGATGCTCCTGTGACTGCTGAAGTCACAATACAGCATCAGCACCGACCTTACCAAGCCAGAACTCACAGCACAAAGACACACTATTACAATTTCTAGCTCAGACAGCTCCTAGAACCTCTCCAGCACGTTTGAGCCACACTTGGGATGCCAAGGAGCATCAGAGAGCTCTCCAAAGCCACGCTCATCCCTCTTCTACCACTGCCTCTGATCACACTGTCCATTTAGGAGTGATTCAACTGCAACACAACCACAGATTACAGAATTCTGAATAATTAACTCAATTAAAAATATACTCAATATTTTCAGAACTCAATCCACTGTCGGTGACCAACCTCCTGCCCCTTGTCAGGTTCTCCTTTCACAAGTGCCTGTTTAAAGATAAGATGCTTTCTGGTTTGATGCCACACAACCAAAGGGAGAGATAAAAGAAGGATTTTATAGCAGACAGCACAGGGTAGCTCAGAAAAGCAAGATGAAAAATCAATCTGGAAGCTAAAGCAGCTCCATTACTTCGTACAGATTTGGAGTTTAGTGCTGTGATTATTCATTACAGCACTTTGATAATGGCACTGCCTCACATCTTCATCCACAATCAGCTGTTTTGCAAACCAACAGATCTGAGAGGCAGCACCCAGAGCCAGGGACTGCCACAGCCAGGCTTCCATCACAGAAATGGGCAGAGTTTAAAACAAAAGGTGCAGCAGAAGGGACAGTTCCTCACTCTCCAAACACAGGTAATGAAGCACCAGAACACTGGAAGGGACAGCTCAGCTGAGCTCTTATTGCACAGGGTCCAACCCTGACCCAACTCCCTGCTCCATCCACACCTGAGCACCCTGTTTGTGTTTCTGCTCTTGTTTCAATTATGATAAGCTTTTCCCACACCTTAACCATGGCTGGATCCAAACGGAGCCTTCCACAGCCACAGCTCAGCAGTTCCACATCCCAGAGCACGCTCACTGCTCATCTCTGTGTCAGTCCTAAAGGATGGCAGAGCCTTGCACAACTGCCCAGATTCTCCAGCAAGTCTTTCTTTGCAAAAGAGACAAAATATCTCCTTCACAAACCCCAGTAAGAGCCCAGAAGTCCAAGGATTTTGCTCCCACAGGAAAGCAGCAGATGCATCACAAGAATTCCCTCTCCCAAGGCTGTGCTCTGCTGTTTCACTCCCCATGCCTGGGATAACACACAAAGCTCAGGAATGGCTGCTGTGTTTATGCAAAGCATTTTAAAATCCCCTGCCCTGCATCCCTGTGGTTCTCAGGGTGGTTAATCCCATTTCACACACGCTGATGCAGATGGATGTTTGGATTTATCTGGAACACATATACACACACAGAGGCAGATACATGGGTGAGGGTTTTGTTTTCAAGAAATGGAGACAATTCTACTCTTGGTTATTTAAAGTGATGGCCCTATTTGGGTGGGAGGAAGTAAGAACTAAGAAAGCATTAAAAAAAACCCAACAAACCAATAATTAGTAGGCACGGAAATGGCAAAATGGCCAATAATTATCTCACATCAGCTAGAACTGTAGAAGCTTTGGGCTGGACTTTTCTTTATAACTTTGCCTCAAGTAGAGAAAAGAGGAGAAGGGAAAAACAGCCTGTAAGATAAGGCCAAAGGAGAGCATGGGCCACACAGAGATTCTTTCTTAAGACCAGAAAACAGAAGGAAACACCAACACAAAATAAGTTATTTTTTTCCTAACTAGAGCTCCATGAAGTTTGCAGCAATACATTTGTTTATCAGAGGTGGAGGGAAAAAGCTGATGCAAGATGCTGCAAGGATTGTTTGCTGCTCCTCTGCCATCACCCAGCTCCAGCTGCACCTTCAGCTGGGAACTCCTCTAATCCCCTGAAAGGGCCCTGCCTGACACCATCCAGGGCACACCAAACAAAATGGGATCTATGTTTAAAACACATTCAACAAGGCTAATGAGAATCATGGCAAAGAAAATACACAAACAGGCTGAAATACTTTAGAGACTTCATTAAAAAAAAAAATTGTGCCATCAATACTTTTGTACTTCTGTAGGAAAAGAAAGGAAGCATACATTATTCTTGAAAATTATCATTTTACACCTGTTCATTAATTTAGCTACTGAAGAGCCTTAAAAGTGGCTATGATTAATTTTTCAAAATATATATGATTTTACTTAATGGTACTGAAGTTGTTAAGCCATTTTATTACGAGCTGAAATGTCCTGTTCATATGAAATTGCTTTCTTTCTTTAGGTTATCAATGAATAATTTTAATAAGGAATTAACAGCAAAACTGTCAGTCATGAATATGATGAGGATGAAAATTAAAGGGAGATTAAAAGCAGGACATTGAATTACAACGTGGAGAAAGCAGACATTCAGGTGAACTTTAGCCCACCTTAGCCTGAGCCTTAATCTCCAATTTCTGCCAAGTCTGTACACACAGTGAACAAAAACATCCTTACATTGTCATGGGAAATGAATGAGTAATTTCATCTTATTTCCATCTGGCAAGTGGCTTCCCAATTGCATTTGGCAGCAAATGTAAATATACAAAAGAAATTAACTGCTTTGTTATTCCCTCTACCTGACAGAAGAACTATGGCTATATAGAACATAGAAGGAAAAAATTAGGTGTGCAAGGGATGTAAACTACACACACAAGAGTAACTTGAGTAGTTGAAAGTAATAATTACACTGAATTTACCCCCCCAAAAAAAAACCTGATGTGATACGACTTGGTAGAAAAATGAAATAAGGAGCTGGGAATGCCACTGAAAGATTAGAAAATAACTTGTGGCACAAAAGTTCAGTAAATTCTGTTGCAACACAAGAAAACTTCTTGAAGTCTGGTTAAATTGATCATCTTGGAACGCTACTGATAATCCTCCATCTCTGTGTTATTTCTAGAGGCACTCAAAAATGGAAATAAAAGTTGAATAAAGAGGGAGGAAGAAAGAGGAATGTCAAACACAGTCTCAGAGCTGCAATTGTTCTTTTCCTTCAGGGAAAAAGACACCCCAAGGGTGTCCCTGGGGACATTCTCAGGGGGCACAGCTGGGGCAGGGATGGGGCAGGGATGATGGGGGCACATCTGGGGCAGGTTTGGGGCAGTTTGGGGCACATCTGGGGCACATCTGGAGCCTCCTGCAGCCACTCACATGAACCATATCCAAGCCCTTACTGCAGGAAGCACAAT